AGGGGGACAAGTCCCCTCTCTGCAGTCACTTACCAGCTTCCGGATCCTGTCCAGCACTTGGTCAATGATCTCTTTGCCAATAGTGTAGTGCCCACGGGCATAGTTGTTGGCAGCATCCTCCTTGCCAGTGATCATTTGTTCAGGGTGGAAGAGCTGGCGGTACACTCCTCCCCGAACCTCATCTAGGAGACATTGGCACAATGACAGAGATTTTCTAACTGGGCCTGGGGAAAGGTGGCAGGAGCCACTCTAGGGAGTGTCCTGCAATGGGTTGTTCACAGAAATAATGACCACTGTCACTGCCCAATAGGGTACACTCACCAATCACAGTTGGCTCCAGGTCCACAAAGATGGCCCGCGGGACGTGCTTCCCAGCCCCGGTCTCACAGAAGAAGGTGGTGAAGGAGTCATCCCCTCCGCCAATGGTTTTGTCACTGGGCATCTGCCCATCGGGCTGGATGCCGTGCTCCAGGCAGTACAGCTCCCAGCAGGTGTTGCCCATCTGGACGCCGGCCTGGCCGACGTGGACGGAGATGCACTCGCGCTGGGGAAGGGGAGGCAGGGTCACATCCCGGCAGAGACCAGAAATGCAATCACTGCAGGTGCTGCCCAGCCCAGACAGGGCAGCCTGGGCCCTTGTCAGCTTGGGCAAGCCACACTGCTCTGGTGCCTGGGTGCCCTGTGTCCATCCCAATCAACTGTGGTCTCCCAGATCTGGTGCTCTGCCTCTCATCACTGCACTGACCACCTCACTGCCCCAAGGAGATGGAGAACCAACTGCTGGAGCCCAGGATACCAGGCCACCGATTCCCTGGACTGCCCCCATCCACAGCCCTGGGAAGCATCCTGTGAGCATCTTCTCCATTGCACAAACACCCACACAGCTTAAGGTCTGAGGCCCTGCATCAGCTGGCACAGCCCCTGTTGCTATTCCAGCAACAGGGCTGGAGGCTGAGATGGCAGAGCACCACCCAGGCGCTGGGAGCTGAGGAGGTGACAGCACTGAGGATGGGTGCCCAGCAAGGGCGGGGATTTGCAGCCATGAATGGTTGCCATGTTCTGAGGCAACCATTCTGCTTCCCTAAACTAGCTCCAGAGGAGGAGGAAGCATTAGCTGCACTTCTTAACTGAACCAAAGGGTGAGCATGGAGAGTCACCTAGATTACAACTTTGAGGGCAGTCTCAGGTTCCTCAGGAGAAGACAGGCTGAGGAGGGCTCTGCAGCCTCACTCCCTTCAGGTGAGGTACCCCAGAGCCTGCAGTCCTTTGAACAAGAACCAAAATATTCAGTGCCTTAGACCTGCTGTTGCCAAGGATTTGGATGCGTCATCAGGCACAACTGAGGCAGAGGAGCATCAAAATCAGACTGGATTTCCAGAGCCATGAGTGCCCCAGTATGAGTCAGCTCGCAGGAAGCCGGTGGAACCAGCCATTTTGCACTCAGGAGCAGGGCAGTGACTGCCATCCAAGGAAGTTACACAGGATGCAGCTAGTCCTGGCTCTGTGCATCTAGAGTGCTTTCAGTGCTGCATTTCAGAGGCAGCAGTGACAGTGAGGAATGACAGAAAAATAAGCCCTTGATACCCATGGTGAGAGACAGAAGCCCATCTTCCCACCTTTCCCAAAGCTGAGGTACAAGAACCAGCAAAGCAATACCCCGCTTATCCCTCCCAGCAGGTCCATAAAGGTTGTGTAACACAAGGAGCCAAGGGTAAGTCCTGAGGACTTAAGTCCTGAGGTAAGTCCTCCAGGATCCTCTACAGAAGGACACAGAAAACACTTGGCACAGCTGCAAGCACTTCAAGAAAGAAGAGATGAGAAAGGACTCCTTCCTGGCCAAGGACCTTGCAAATCAGTGTGGGGGTGCAGAGGGTTATGCTGCTCACTGCACTTCATCCCACCAACATGCAGCAGCCAGGACTGGCTCTGTGGGACCCAGCACTGACAGCAAGCTGGGCAGAGCCCAGCAGCACCAGCAAGAAGCAGTGCTGGTCACCAGTCAGCAGAGTGCCTTCTTCATGGCAAGGTCTGGCACAGGAAAGGCTGGGAGCATGGGCCTGCAGGACAGCAGGCAGGGTGCCTAGGGAACCTTGGGGCCGAGATACTCTCCAGGGCATATGGAGAGCTCAGGAGCCAGAGCTCGCAGTAGGACTGTGGCGACAGGGCAGCCCGGAAGCCCACCCACAGTGATGCCCACCCTTGGAGCAGGGCAGTGGGTGGAGGAAGCCACAGCTTCCTGCCACGGCTCAGCTGTGGGTCGGTAGCGTGGGGGGCTGGCTCTGCGCAGCCGGGGATGGTACCGCGGAACATAGGCAGGAATCGACACTACTAATAAAGTCGGAAAGAGTGTGAGAGTCTGCCCGAGCGCCGGTCTCCAAACACGGCGGGGCTCGTAGGGGACCTCCTTGCCACGGGTACAAGGGATGCTCAAAGGAGGGAGGCTGCTGAGAGCCGGAGAGGGAGCAGCTCAGAAAGTGGCTGAAGCCAGGGAAAGGCAGGGCAAGCACGGCGGGCACTACTGCCAGCAAGCTGCCCGCACCTCTGGGCTCCCGGCAGAGCCCTCCCGGGAAGCCACGGGGACCGCAGCCTGCTCCGAGGACGGTCCCGACGGGGTTCCCCCGCTCCCGGGAGCACTCGTGGGACCAGGGGGAAGGAGCAGCGGGGGCCGGCACTCACCATGATGCCGCCGCTGCCGCACGACCTGCCTGTCCCCGGGCTGCCGCAGCTCCGCGCCCCGGGACGGCGGCGCTGCCGCCGCCTTATACCGGGGGCGGCACCGGAGCTCCGGGGCGGGCCGCCCCGCCCGAAACGGCTCCACACGCTTGCATAGATTTGCGAGCATTGCTCATATTTGCATAGATTTGCATAGATGAGGCTGTGCTGCCCGATAGCCGGCGGGGTGCATGGGTTGGGCCATCGAGAAGCAGCATCCCCTCACCAGAGCACGGGAGACCCGGGGATCCCCTCGAGGAAAGGGCCATAAGTGTTCGCCTTGCTACGCTTGCTGGTCTTGGCAGAGGGGCTTCTGTTGAAGAGCAGAGATGGCACCTTCCACCTTAGTGCTCTGCTGGCCACTATCCAGGCACTAACCCAGAGAGACTCTGGGGGCTGAGGCAGGAAAGCCAAGAAAGAACCTGGCCCAGGTCTTCCCTCCTGGTGGGTGTAAGTGCTGATGTGATCCCTGGACAAGCACAGAGCCAGGTCTCTACCAGTCACCCAAAGCCTCCAAAAAACATCTGGGAGAATTTCTAGAGGAAACATGGGCAGAGGAAACTCTTTAGAGATGAGAACAAGCTTTCCTGACCTCTTTGGAGCTCGGTGGGAAACAAAAGCAAGAGAACTCTGTCCTGTCCCTTGCATCAAGGACTGTTGTACCCCAGGGCTGTGTCTGAAAGCCCTGCCTGCTGAAAGGCTTCTTCTCCAGCCTGGTTCTCCACTGCCTCCACAGTTTTGATATGATTTCACAAAGCTTTATGAAAGGAATGGTGAGGGGATGAGGAGAGCATGAAGGACTTCGGATGGGGTTTACTGGAGTCTGCAGTGACTTCACTGATGTCTGGCTTTACTACAGTGAATAACATGTCCAACCCCTTCCAAAATGCTTGCAGCATCCACTGTGGTGCAGAACCAGTCCTGCCTCTGCCTGAGCGCTGTGATTTAATGAGTTTTCACTGAAAGTTGCTGTCATCTCTCAGCTTGATCTGAAAGTTGAAAGCTGGACCTAAATTATCCACCCACAATGGCCTTTCTTTGTGCCTGAGTCACCTGAAAAGTGTCACCTTCACTGATGAGCATGTGTAAAGTGACTGAAAGCAAGAGTACTGCTGAGAAGCCTGTGCCGGTGTCTAAGCAACGCATTTTTTGAGACCTGCAGAAATGGCTGAGCCAAAGGATCAGAATGGGTTTAATCAAGCTGGTGGGAAAAATGTTGAGGTTTTTTTCCACAGAGGTGACCCAGGTTGTGAGTGCTGCTGAACATGCACAGGATGCTGTGGTGACCAGATAACTCTGGAAATGCCTCCCCTGGTATAAATGTCCTTTGAGTGACCTCAGAGATCACTAGATAACACAGACCATGCTGATGCAGACAGTCCGTGAGAGTGAGAGAGTAACTGGTAGCACTAAGGCATCAAAATTTGAACCCAGAAGTTAATTGGAGTGAAAAGGAGCAGTGGTATCGTCTTTCTCTGTGAAAATCTTTACCAAGGTGTTCATTGAAATGCATGGTGGATGTCAAGGCACCACTTCTGACTGGGTGTGTCCTAGCACCCTTCTTAATTCCACAGTGCCAATTAATTCTGGGGCATTTTTAACACAGTGCTTTGCAGTGGTGGTTGGAAGCACAGGTGTTGAGCTAGGCAGCAAGCAGTATCTCAGGTGGCCACACAGCTTGTGGCCACGGTTTGTACGTGAAGGCTTGCACACTTCACCCAAATTCTGAACATTGTGGGGCACCTAGGGGTGTAAAATGATGTTATACTTCTCCAAGAAATGCCTGGAACTGTTTACATACCATTCTGGTAGAGAGCTGAGGGTGAAATATCCCTGATTTGTCGTTGCTGCAAATGCATGTGAAAATACCCACTCAGATGCTGTTTTGTTGGACAATCAGAGCAGCACTGAATGACAAGAGAGCCATGAGTCATTTGAAGCTGTGCATCCCCATGTGCCTCTGATCTGAAATGTCGAAACAGATGTCTAAGCTTTTTTGAAATGCTTAAGAACATCTGGCTAAATCCAGGGAGCACCAATCGCTTGCATCTTGTCAGTGCCTAACTGCTCAGCAGCCTGCCAGATGCTGGTAGCAGCAGCCTGCAAGCACACAGCAGAGGCTGAGCTCACTCTGCCTGAATTTGTCCTGAGGCGACCCCCCCCTCTTACAGAGATGTAACCCACATGCCTAAGAAGACCCTACAAATGTTTTCAGACCACATTAGAAATCACAAGATTGCCAGAATTGCTCAGGAAAGATTTTCATCGTTGTGCAGAACATGGTTGGACTCTGCATCAGCAACCAGAGAGGTACAAAAAGCAAGCAAGGCAAATTCTAGGCTGTAGAGTCAGAATTCAACCATCTCTTTATTGAGGGATGGGAAAAACAGATTGAAGATACCCGAGGGGCAGAGCCTTGCCCACTGCTGGGGAAAGCCCCTACTTGCCACTCTTGGGAACCAGCCAGATTTGACAGGTACATGCTGGTACAGGAACCCCTGTCAGCACAGCCTGCAGTTACCCAAACAAAGCCTCTCACACAGCTGTCTTCAAGAAGTATGTTTAAGACTGCCACACCTAAAGCACCCAGAGCTGAAAGTGGGGAGGAGATGGGTTCAGAGTCCAGCCTGGTACCTCCCATCCACACCCCAGTTCTCTGCACTCTCTGCTGAGGAAAGCTCAAATTATTGTTCGAACTTTTCAGATCTCAGCTCCACCCAGCCTGTTCCAGGCAGAGCAAACAGTGTCACAAGGCAGTCTGGGGGCATGGCTTTCTTGCGAAGGTAGAAGAGAGCACAGCTGTGCTGACGTCTGGCAAAGAAGCCCAGTGCCCTCCACTTTAAGCCCAGCCTTTACAGCAAACACAAGATTATGAGGGGTGTTTCAGGAACAGAGCCCCTGTCTGCATCTTTAAACTCAGCCAGGAGCTTCACAAAGATGTTACATCCATGCTTGCCCTGCTTACCCATCACTCTATCCTCACACAGTTGCTCTGCTCATAATCCTCTTAGCAGCGTGGTCAGGCAGGGAGTTGGAGAAGCCGGCATGCGCCTCCAGCCCATCAGTGCCCTGTGCAGTTCGATCTCCAGCAGTGGCTGCTCTGCGTTAGTACAAGTTAGACAAACGTTAGACAAACGTTGGTTGGTGAAACTAATAGGTCTGTTGAAAGCTTGGGGCTTGACTGCATATTGCAGATATTGTGAATTCAAACAAGGCCCTTGTGATGTTAACTGCTCCAGCAGTATCCCACTGAGCCATTGTGCAGAGTCCCTAAAGCCCAGCTGGCTCTCAGTGATGGCCCAGAATTCTATGTCTGAGTGCTGCTGCAGTTCTAATATGGCAGCATTTGAGACACAATTTGCTGCCCTGAAAAGTTCTAGCACAGCATGGAGATGGGCAGAAAATGCTCCCTTTGCCATTCCTTAAGATATGCATGCCTTGTCAAGGACAGAAAGGGCCCTCTGAGTAGTACCTCATCCTTCATCTGGAGAAGGTGGAGATGATCCAGAGAAGAGAAACAAGGGTGACTGGAAGGCGAGATGTCATGGGCTGTAATGAAAGGCTGAAGGAATGGGGACTACAAGAAGACCAAGCAGAGACTCAATAAAAGTCTTAAAATATGTTTAAGGTAGATGCAGATAAAAAGAGGATTAAATGTTCTCCATGCTCAGGGAAAGAAGATGCATGTTTAAGGCCTGTGGTAAGGGTAGTGAAGCATGATTGCCTTAGGGCCAAGGGATCTTCATCACTGAACATCTTCAACAGCCCAAGTGTGGCATTTACTCCTAGAGACCTGCTGGGATGTAGGGCACAGTAGTGATCTGACAGAAGTTTTCTCTGCTGGAGCTGAGCAACAGCAGCATAATTGCTGGTTCAGATATAATGAAGTCAATTGTGCAACGCCTGCTGCATTGCCCAGAGCGTGCGCCTCAGTACAGGAACAATAAAGCTAATTCCAGATCTCGCTACAGTCCTAAGCCCTGAATCACAGGGCAAGAGCAGGGAGGCACTCCCAGGGACATGAGCAGTCCTGCTTGCTGAGCCCCAACCTGAGAGGCTGAAAGGGGCTGTTGGACGAGCTGTGACTAGCTCTTTCTTGGGCACAGAAGTCTCGGGTGAGCAGCCTCCCTGGCTCAGAGCCAGCTGCCCTGGCTGCCAGTGTCACCTGCCTTTCCTCATGTGCTGGGAAAGGCAGCTACACACCCACGGGAGTAAAATAAAACTGCAGCTGTCTAATTGCAGTGACTTCATGTCAGAGCTCTGAGCATGCCTGGTGTGAACAAGCTGCCTCCAGGCAGGTGATGACGGGCTGAGCCTGCTGAGGTGTTCCCCCTGCAACCTGTGGTCTCAGGAACTGCTGGTAATCAGCGCTGATGGGCCATGTGGAGGGGCCAGTGATGCTTCTCCTCTTCAGCAGCTCTTAGAGCTGGCAATGGCACAGACAGTGCAGGAATAGCTGGAAACAGAAGTGCAAAGTATTCTGCAAGGTTGTGTAATGGTAGGAGCTCCTGGAGGGAGATGGGTTATCCCATGAGGCCGAAGGGCCCTGCATGCCCCAGACAGAAATGTAGGCACGGTGATGTCTTCATCCCCAGCCCTTTAGGCCCTCCTGTCTTACAAGTTCTCAGAATTGCAACAAAGCTGTGGTCAGCTCTGTTGCAATGCCATAGCGTGTGCCCTTGTGAGCTGGCAGTGATGGGGCAAGAGGCAGCCATTGCTTCCCCCACTCCCAGGAGCAGTGGAGGGGACACAGCAGATTCACACAGGGCAGCTCTGCAGGTGCACTCACTCCTTCGAGGTAGATAAACCACTGCAGGTGGGCAGTCCAGCATTCACTGGGAAAGCAAACGATTCCTGGTACAGGAGCGTCTTGCCAATGGCTCTGCTCTACCCTGGCCTTTGGAGAGCATCTCATGGCTGGACAGATATCTGCAAGTATTTTTTTTGCACGTGGAAGTTGGTGGTATGGAATGCAAACAGCTTGTTGGCCTGAGGGCACACCAAGATCAGAGCTGCACATGGAGAAACTAGGCTGGAGTCTAGGGGATTGCTGTAGGGTTGTTAAAAGTGGAAAGGAGGTGCTGGCATCTGGCCAAGTTCTGGTGGATGTCAGAGGGAAACAGTTAATGT